ACGACAAATGAAGACAACACTTGATAAAAAAAAAGTCTAGAAAGAAAAATTAACATAGATTCCTTCATGCAAGTTTTGCAGTCTTACATAACATATAATAGTTTTACCCTTTACTGCTTGCAATGACACTATACACGCAACTATGACTAGCACGGAATCATCAAAGAGTACTATAGCAACAATTCTGAATAATAATCTGAACGTTTTGTTTTTAATTTTCTTTTTACTCTAGAACGATTTCATTTTTCCATTGCCAAAATCAAATACTCAAAATAGATCGTCCAATCACTCAAGCGTCTTTAAAACTTGCTTTCAAAGGAACTACTTAAATGTGAATTTATAGCTTACGTAATCCATGTGGACTCATTGACGTATTTTCATTGAAAAATGTATGTTTCCACGTGGACTTAACTTTACTTTTAGCTTTCCCTTTTAAAAAGAGAACTCATTAACTAAAAAATATTAGACCTACTCTCGTTACATTATTATCCTTGGTAGCAGAAAAAAAGCTATAAATTCCACTTTCAACTAATGATATTGTTATGTTTACATAGATTTATTTGAAACGTGTACTATTTTCAGTGGCATCTAGAGAGCACTTTATAATTTATACTCTACAGTGTTTCTTTATAATCACCAGACATTCATACAGGGTGAAACTGGATTTACATAAATACATGTATAAATAATTTGTGTTGTTTATTTTTTGAAAAAAAAATTAACACTTCAATGACATAAACCAGAAGTTACATGTTAGCACTATTTAACTCTTACGAAAAGGTCATTTTAGAAAATAAAAATCTTTTTCATGGTTATTTGGACAAGGAGAGATTCCATTTGTAGTGCATATTCAAAGGCAAATTATATATGACTTGTCATAACCTAGATAATATATATTAAAAAAAAAAATTTCAAAAATTTTTAATACGATCATTCAGCAGTATAATATAGGCCATTCCCCAAGATAAATTGAAGTCCAGGCTTTTTGACATCATAGACAGCTGCATTTTCAATAAAAATGGAACTCGTAAATATACTTACCTTGTCATTGGTCATTTGCAAAATTATTTTGTTAAAAAGCAGTCTGAATATACATGTACACACAAGTACTTTGAAGTTGATATCAAAAAGATGCTTGAGTTTCTGATTGACAATATCCATGTACTTTTTGGAGATCAGGTCTTCCAACAATCTGTTGGAATTCTCATGGGTACCAATTGCGCCCCCTTATTAGCAGACCTATTTTTGTATTCATATGAAGCAGAATTTATTCAAAAACTTCTACATGAGAAGAAGAAAACACTTGCAGTGGCCTTCAACTCGACATTTCGTCATATCGACGACTTATTATCATTTAAAAATAGTTACTTTCATTCAAATGTCGACTCGTTATATCCCAGTGAGCCTGAAATAAAAGATACCACAGATTCTGACACATCTGTTTCATATTTAGATATTTTACTAGAAAAAGACGTTAATGATAACCTAACAACAAAGCTTTATGATAAACGTGATGACTTCAACTTTTCAATCGTCAACTTCCCTTATTTATGTATCAATATACCCTTATCTCCTGCATATGGGGATTATGTCTCTCAATTAATTCGATACGCAAGAGCATGCTCTATGTATGAACAATTTCTAAAACGAGGCAAACTACTGACAAACAAGTTGTTGAAACAAGGATATCAACAGTCTCGTTTGAATCATCATTTCGCAAGTTTTACGGTCGATACAATGACCTTTTCAGCACATACAACCTATCATTAAGTCAAATGCTTACTGATCTTTTTCATACTAATTGTTACTTTTACTATACACTGAACTGTCTACAGATTTTTCCGGTTTTTTTCCCAATCATGACAAAGAGCACATGGCGGGTGTGACCGGTCGGCAGGGGATGCTTACTCCTCCATGGCACATGATCCCACCTCTAAATTTGAAGTCCGTGTTTGCTTTGCTCCAAATTTGTAACGTTTCATTGGACTTTTGAGATTGAATACTGTTCGTTATCTTCATATTTCATTAGTCGCCCGCGTGGAGCAGTGGTAGAGCGTCTGCTCTAGAGTCGCAGAGGAAGGAGTTGATCCTTACGTCGCGGGTTCGAATCCCACTGTTGGATGTGGAGACCGGTCCTTTGGATGAGACCGTATAAACCGAGGTCCCTTGTCCAGTAGGTGCTGGCACGAAAAAGATCCCTTACTGCTCAATGGCCCTGAGTGCCGAGCATAGGTAAAAATTTGCAGCTCTCCACCGGCAAGTCGTGGCGTCTCCATATGAGTGAAATATTCTCGAGAGGGACGTTAAACAACAAACAAACATATTTCATTCCATTGACATTGCCGCAGTCCATCATATCACTTTCTTTTTGTTGTAGGTTAATCTATGTTGTTTTTATTATAAATTATTCTCTGAAATTCACTGATATACTCCGAAATACATTTGAAAATTCATGTTTGTTTTTTGTTCAGAAAAAAATGTAAAAATATGCGGTTGAGGTCGCTCAGAGAGATCAAAACATTTTTATGTGATTGTACACAACCACTTTGAATTTATACAACAAACTTCAAAAATTTTGCGAGAATATTTGAACAATTCTGCATGATTCATTTTAAAAAAATCATGAAATGTGGCTAAATTTGACCTCACAACAAGTAAGTAATATATAGTGTAAAAAATTCAATTTTGACTCACTTATGGCCATATACTGTACATCTTATATTCATTTATTTGTTGAATGTTTTGAATGGCGATGCCATGACTAATAAAAAAGGAAAATATCTTTTAAAATAAATTTTTTTCTCTCCTATATTCAAATTTATTAAAACATGTTACAAAAGTAGAAAATATAATTCTGTACACGTATAATGGTTTTGATTTAAATGAATGTCATCGTTGTCAAAGTCATTTAATCTTTTAGATTTTATTGTTTAAAATTCTATCCCTCCCAGAATCTTATTTGAATTTAAATGAAAAGGCACTTAAAGGATTTCAAAGCCAAAGATAATGTGTTTACAGCATTTCAATAATTCTTTTTTATTTTTAACAGTTTAATAGAACTAAAAATATTTTTATCTTAGAAATGATTTCTCAATCTCCACAATGAATTTCCATGTCATTTTGAAATCAATTGTAATCTAAGAAAATGAACATTCACAAATGCATAGTAATGTCAGCGTGACAGTGGTGAAATTCATTTCCATTACAACCAATGCCGCTTTTTTGCATTACAAATCCTTTCGATTCGAATAAATGCGTTTCCATTACATAAAGCATTATCCAAAGCATGCGTTATAGTGTATTTTAACGTCAGAATTACACTAGATTTTAGAAAGTAACGCATTACTTTACCATTATATTACATATAATGCAGACATGTGTTACATAACACATCACTTTGATTTAACATAATGGATTGCAATGTCTTCCTTTAACATAAACCATTATCAAAGCCTGCTTAAAACCTTCAAAACCAATAAAAATCTACATGTGCACAAAAAATGAACACTTCTAGTCCTCTCTGCAAATGTCGTTTTTTCTCGTTCATAATGTATACTTATGTTAGTCTAAGTAAAGGAGAAAGGCCGAAAACTGTCCATTCTGTGAGAGAAAGAACTAATCGAGGGCCGTAGGCCCGAGATTAGTTCTTTCTCTCACAGAATGGACAGTGTGAGGCCTTTCTCCTACTTAAAACATGATTTCCTTTGTTTTGAAAATTAAATATAAAATGTACAAAATGACAGGTAGCACACATACAATGGCAAGTTCATTGTTTACGGAATGGACAGTCACAGGTAAGCTAGGGATGCAGAGCAATTTGTTGAATAGCCATTGTGTTTCCAGATGCAACAACAAAAGGTTTTTGTCTTAAGAATGGGCAGTTGCAGGTGGATTTTGCGGGATACTAGTATTTATACAAGTATGCGATGCTTCAAAATCAGTTACAGTTTGTGTTGTAAAGGTATACATGTTTTCCTGTGATGGAGAGAGTATATGACAGAATCAATATCTTATAAACCAAAATATGCACAACATTAGTGATATTTGGATCTGGAAACAGAAAAGGAAGATTAAAAGAAATATTAGCCAAATTTTGACCCAAAAATGAACTTCGACAACAGAAACAGATGATCAAATTCAAATCAAACCTGGAAATGTTTTATTTGAATTCTATTTCTGAGGATATATTAACTGCAGCAGTGTAATGGTGAGATGCAGATTGTGTTCTGAGTGTTGGATTAGCCATGAGCCAATCTTCGACCTGAAATGTTTTTCAAATCAAATCGGGAAATGTTTCATTTTTATTTATTTTCTACCGTAATTAATATTGACTGTAGCAGTGCAGTGTTCATGGTGCAAACTGTTTTCTGGGTGGAGGATTTAATATTAGACGTACTTCTATCTGAAAATGAATTCTCCTCGAGGGAATGATTTTTCTGAAATTTAAATCAAATGTGAAATTGTGTCATTTAAATTCAAGTTTTGTGAAAATTAAGTTTTGGGTATTGAAATAGTGTGCATCATTCATGGATTTAAAAGAGTAAAATCGAATGGATGCTGTGTAGACATTGTGTTCTGGATTAACTTTGGTCTCCGCGTTCTTTTTGTTATTTACATGTAAATTAAAAAGTATTTAATATATTTGTTTTTGTTTCCCTCTTGAACACATTCCAAAGTTTACCTGTAACTCTCCATTCTGTTTGTTTTAACTGTCCATTCTTTTTGAAAAAACTGTCCATTCTTAAAAGAATGGACAGTTTTCCAAAAAGAATGGACACTTACAGGTAACTTAATGGATTGTTTGAGGAGTTAGCTCAACATTAAGCTATAGAATCGACAACACAAACAAAAGGTTTACGTCACAATCATGTTTTAATTTCGATGGCAGTTTCTTGTCATGCAAAAGGATTATTATCAAATAACAGTAGGTATTTATTAAAGACATGAAGATAAAAACAAAGATATTTTTAAAATACCTAATATTTTAATCTCATGATTATCTACAATAACCAACCGGAAAATGACGTTCTTCCATATGCAGCACTGATAATGGCCCCTCGGGTAGCTGAAGTTGTTCTGATGAAAACATGGTCACCAGAATTTACTTCTGAAATAACTAAATTGCTACTACAATGATATCCACCAGGTTCACCCGGCTTGAGACCTTCTTCGTAAGTAGACCCAAGAGCAATACCATTGACAGCAATCTCTAGACTGGCCCATGGGTAGTTTTCACCTTCGGTTATGCATAAGGAGAAGTGAAAGACGTAGACGCCAGTAACGGGTGCGATGAAAATTCCATCGCCTTTGTTATATCCGTTGCCTCTGTTTATATGCACGGCGTCATAAATAATGAGATGGTGTGCTGGTAAATTTGGAGCACTTTTTTGTGATAGGTATCCGTAGAATGCCACGGCAGATACAGGATACGTGTCCGGGTGAACTAAAACGATTAAGTTAACATGCATCAAGTTCAGGTGTGCTTTCTAAAAGATTAATCAGCATAAAATAAAGTTTATATTGAAGAAAAAGTGGAAGGCTACATGTAGCTCCCCATAACTTTTAATTTAAAAGATCTTGATTTAATTTTAAAGAAAAATTTTGCGGTAGAGGGGAGAGGGGGAATTAAGTTGAATTCTGGCTTTGAAAAATCAAACCGAGGGAAAAACAATTTCTATCATGTGCTTAATATTAGTATTATACGATCCTTTAATGCTAAAGGTAAATAGGTCATCCGAATTTGTCACTTTTCTCAGTCTCAGTCTATACAGGTGACACACAATTATAGATAGCTAAACCACTTTTTAAACATAGTTTAGAATTTCTAGAATTTTTTTTTGTTCCCCCCCCCCCCCGAATAATAAGTGTTTATTTAATATATATATATATATATATATATATATATATATATATATATATATATATATATATATATATATATATATATATATATATATATATATATATATATATATATAAATCACTGGAATCAGAAATCGCATGAATTTGACGAATTTACTGTCAGATATGCTGCAATTGACATTGAAAATGATTTTTATATTGAGGGGATTATTATTACACTGCTAAGAAAATTAGAACCTAAGTTCCTTCAATGCTAAAAAGGAAATTTTCAGAAGTCTATATACAGGAATTTAAACTGTTAGCAAGGTTAACGTTTTTGCTTTTTACGATGAACTAGCCATTTAAAACTGCAAAAGCAACTTTCTGGAACTTTCTTGAAAGCTTGGAAGAGCTCTTTGAAAAAAAAAAAACAGGAAAAATTGTGATTGTCAAAAAGTATGCCTATTGTAAGCTCGCAGAAGTCCTGACCTTTAATCTGCACGTCCCAGCAAAACAGACGTAGCCTAAAGGTTTACTATCACTACAGACTTTTTTTTTGGTTTTGAAGGAGATTAATTTTTTCCCTGTTGGTAAAATTTTGAACTTACTTATCCTAGCAACAGGTTGAACTCTTCCACTAGGCATCTCCTCATGATTCTGAATCGTAGATCGCTCAAAAAGTGTCTCTTTATCCTCTACAGTGTGTTCTGAAAGTTCTTTAACTATTTCCTTGTTGCGTAAAGTTCCACATTTGTCTACACTTTCTCTTAGTACTTTTAAGTCTTGTTTCAGTTGTCCGTTTTCGCGCCATAGATCTTCGTTTTCCTTCAAAAGGCGAACATTTGATTCTTCAACCAAAGACAAACGTTTCTCGATTTCTTCTTTCCAAGTGTTATCATCAAATCCTCTGACGAAAGCTATAAGGATTGTAAACAATAATATTATATTCATCCTTGCTAACATTTCTCTGCTGACCTCTTTAGATCTAGAGCAAGTGACCATAGATAGCGATATTTCATATTTTGATTCGATTGTATGCTTATTCAGATAAACTTTCACCTAACCTTTGATATCCTCTTTCATCGGCGTGAATACAAGAATGGCAGAACCAGGAGAGGCTATCTGACATGTGTTTGAGGGAGGGAGTAGGTGTGTGTTAAGGTAAAGTACAAAAAAAATGTACCGAGGATCGGGAAATGCACATCTTTTTTACATTTGCTTAAAGACCCTCTGCTCTAAATTTTTACATTTTTTTTTAAAAACTTTCCAACATTGATCATCAAGAACGGTAGCATTAGATTCAAATGAAAAATAGTAAGAGGTAGGAAGCGCTGCTTATTTTTTTTTTTATAAATTATTTTTTATGTCGGATCATGATATGAGAAAAGTTTAACACAAAGAAAGGGTAAAGTAATAATTTATTATCACAACATAAAACTAAAAATATGAGGTGTATATGAAAATAATAATAATATAGTGTCATACTTATTAAATTCATATTAGAAAACATAATAAAGCGCTACTTCCTAAGTCTGATCGTTACAATGTTATATGTGCTTGTAAGAAAACAACACTTCCATTGGCAAGAGTTCTCTCTCTTTATTTTTTTTTCACGGGGAAAAATGTAATGCTAATAAAAATTCTAATATGGTACATGATCTATTAAAGAATTTTTTAAAATGGTTCCTAAAAGTATCGAATTTGTTCAATTTGTAATTGTTTTAAAACTGGATGTTAACGTTTTATGCCATGTATAATAAAACAATTTGAAAAAATATAAGTAAAAGGAAATAGACATTAATGTTACCATCACAAGTTGGGTTTCATTGAATTGACTACTACAAAGTCTCCATCATTGAACTCTGGGTAGATAAACTATGAGTAGTTTTAGGATTTCTGACTTGGAAATATATCTCTCTTATTAGATCGTCGATCCCCCTTAATATTTGTTTCAATATAAAAATCTTAAGCTAGCAGGGAATACATTAATCCAAATTTGCCTTTTCTTACAATGGATACGAACGCGATTTTTTTTTCTACAGTTGAGACAAATACTTGAGTAGTACCAACCCTAGAAGATAGTTTGAATTTTTATACATAATCTCAATTTTGTCTTTTGATTTCAAGTCTAATGAATGTTACCTATTCTCTAAATTGTAATCACATGACTTTTTGAGAAGAATTAAAAGGAGATACACTGTACTCGACATTGATGTAGAGGATCTTGGATTATTCTTACACTTGTGCTCCTTTATTAGCCGATCTGTTTTATATTCTTATGAAGCAGAATTTATTTTAAAAAAATTCTACACGAGAAGAAGAAAACTCTTGGTGTGGCCTTCAACTCGACATTTACATATAACTTTGACGTTTTATCAATTTACAATAGTTACTTTCAGTCATATGTACACTCAATATATCTCAGTGAACTCTAAAAGACACTACAGAGTCTGCCACATTTGTTTCATAGTTGATCTTTTATTGACTGTTGACGACAATGGCCAACTAATAGCTAATTGTATGACAAACGGCATTCTCATAACGTCAGGGGTCCTGAGTCAACACGTTGCCGTTGGACTCCTGACAAATTTCATTCGATATCTTGTGGACTGACTGCAGCGACGTCTTTCGGAAAAATTACAATTCTTGATTGTTTTTCTTATCTCTCAACCAATCACATTAAGCCTTTCGGTGATAAACAATGCTTAACACGTGCATTTTTGTTTCAACTGATTCGTTTCTGTTTACATTATCTGTCTACTTCACTCGATTGGTGCTTCTCAATGAAAGAAGCAAGCCCAAAGAAATCGAATGAAATTTGTAAGAGGTCCAAAGGCAACATGTCCACTCAGTACCCCTGACGTTGTAAGGATGGACAAACGGGACGACTGCAGCTTTTCCATCTTCAACTTTCCTTTTTTATACAGTAATATTCAAACATCACCTGCAAGTGATGTTCGTGTCTCCCACCTGATTCGATATACAAGAGCAAGTTCTGAGTACGATCAATTTTTTTAAAACCGAGACAGGCTACTGACAAATAAGTTGATGTTACAAGGATTTCAACAACAGCGTTTAAAGTAAGGTTTTCTCAAATTCTACGGTCGTTATAATGACCCTGTTTGTCATTAGACAACCTACTTGTATTTGGGACGTATTTTGTCGGACATGTTTGATACCATTTGTTAAGACCTTATTTTTATATTTAATTTGACTACGGAGTACTCGGTAAACCTGATTAATACATAGGGCTCACGGCAGGTATGAACGGTCATCAGGGGATACTTACTCCTCCTAGGCACCTGATTCCACCTCTGGTGTTTTTAGGGGGTCCGTGTTTTTGCCCTGTTCACGATTCGTTTTGTTTACTGGAAGCATGAGATTGAAAACTGTTCTCGAATAACACACCTTTTATATTGTAAAGAGAATTTGAACAAAAATTTCTTGTGTGTATAACAAGTTTCAGAAACTTATACTGTTTCACAGGTTAGGCTGTTTTGTTTAGACAAGTATTTTCACAGATACCTTATCAGAATTAAGCGAGCCTTCATTTAGTATTGCAATCGCTTTTTTGGAATGTTCCGTCATGCTAGAAGGGCTTGTCGAAAAAAAAAAATCTAAAGACTTGCAATTGACCAAATTACGCTTGTAGTTAGTTTGAAGTATTTCCCGATCGTGATTTTAACACCCCCCCCCCCCAAAAAAAAAAAAAAAAATTATGTAGATCCTGGCACTAAAGACCAGATTTCCTGTACAAGACAGAAGCGAATCCTTTTTATATCTGCAAGTTTTGTCGCTTACCTATACTGGAAATGTCGAATTCTTCGACTGAATATTTCCTATGTGATAAATCTCCTGGTTGTTAAAAATCATTGAGACTCGCACTTTGGAAAATGTCTCTGTATCCCCTACAGTGCGTTTTGAACGTTCGTTTCCGGTTTCTGTGTCGTGTACCTTTTCATTTCACACTTGTCTACACTTTCTTTAAGTTCCATCAGATATTGTTAACGATAAATGTTTCTCAATTTTTAAAATATCTGAGGAAAGATACAAGGATTATTAACGATGATATTCATTTCATCCTTGCTAACTTGTAATGCTGACCTTCTGCAAGCAAATGACTAAGGATAGCGATCTTTTACGTTATGATCGAATTATATGCACATTCAGATGAACTTAAACCTAGCCTTAGATAACAGCTTGACAAAGGATCTTGAATCTTGTATCATAACGATATTTTGTTTTAAAAAGAGTGGTGTTAGGTTTGCAAGAATTAGTATTGATTTTCAACGATTTCTGCGGTAATTAGTATTTGTAATCATATGTAAAAAAGGGAAAATCCAAAAATATTGTACGTCAGTGAGTAAAAATCGCGACTTGCATTTTACTCCATTCAGCATTAAAAATCACATTTATTTGTGGCCATTTCTGATGATTACCGCTCGAATTTTTTTTATTTTCAATTATACCCCCCCCCCCCCAAAAAAAAAAAAAAAACAACAACACAAGATTCCAGTAACAAATTAATAAAAAATTCCGTCATAATTGTTATATTCATCAGCTTTATCAACCTATCTGCAAGACCGTCTGGCGGTAAATTTGGAGCTATTGTTCCTAGAAACTACAGAGTACCACAACATAGACATGGTACATGTAAAGTGAAGCAAAATAATTGACAACTTATGATCTGCTTTAAATTAGTAACAACTAAGTACATATAACTACCAACTGCAACAGATCATGTTGCCAAACATGATGCAAAGTACAGTGACAGGTTGATTAAAAAAGAAACAGGAAATGTATATAAACTTGATCTCTACTTTGTGTGACATGTTCTGTACCTGGACTGTTTTTGAAAAGAGATTGTTCCAATTCCTATCGAAGGGATAAGACAATAATATGCAATGCCAAAGCGAACTAAATTATTTCACGATTCCTTAAAAATAGTCCAAAAAATATGTGAAATTGATTGTTTCTAATTTTTTTGTTTTTACCCAGATATCTGTTTTTTTCCTTCAAAATTCAAGTTTTATATTTATATCGTACATGTAAAAACACTGACATTTCTTTAAAGATAGTCATTTTTCCTTTCATATGTTGTTATAATCGCCACAATCCTCGTCCATCTCAGACAACCAATGAAAGAAAAGGTCTAAATTCCTTATCTAATGAAATACATGAAAAAAAATCATTTTGATGGCAATAGTTCAAGTTTAATAGATAGCTGTATCTATCATATTCATTGAATGGAATGATATATACGCACTTACATGTAAAATTAAAATTTCTTTCAAAACGAGTTATAATGATAATATGTATATAAGCTAAAAGGATGTAATGTAACGAAGTGCATGAACTCATGTATATACGTCTTTTCTTCCAGGTAGTTAAAAAAAGACGTCATCTTAAGTAAAATGCATATGGATAATTTGTATACCCTTACATATACGTGATTTTAAGATTTAGAGCGTGCAAATTTTGTCAATTGACGATGCCTAAATAAATGAAAGATGTTTAATTCTTTGTTTTAAAGCGACACCGTGACGCACAAACGGGAAAATTGACAAACATAGAAGTTTTGCAAGATCAGTGCAATTTTGTTCAATTCCTAAAAGTACAAGGTTTCAGAAAATTACAGATTTCGATGCCAAAAAATCTACTTTTATGGAGAAAAAATAATTTTGAATGGCCCAACACGAAAATATTGCTTTACGCGTGCGCAGAAAAGTTGAAGAAGTTACCATGGTCTCAAGTACCAAAAATGAATGTCGGAAGACAAAGAATTGTGATACAATCTTCAAAAAATTATTAGAACATATTTCCCACCTTTGCATGCTCCAATTGAATGTTATTGACAAGTTTACGCTAAAAATAAAAATGGCGTGACCTCGACATTTTACGATAACAACGAAACGGTAGATACAACCTTTGTTTTCCCGGCACTTATATTGTACAGTCTTTTCTTGCTTTACAGTGCAGTTTAGTTTTCATATCTTCGCTATACTCATAATTTTCATAAATCTTTCGCTTTATGATACAGATATGTTAAAAGAAACGCATGATTTTGACTCATTATGTAACTTTAAAGGAAATTTCAAAACACAGCTGAAATAAACTGTATATTTTTTAAAGTAATTCTACAACATTACATAATCATTTTTTCCTTTGTAACTACATTGTATATATAAAGTTAAAGTACGCATGGTGCAGATCCAGTTTGTTTAAATGAGAGTAATATATTTTTAAATGCTCATGCCCGAAAACTCTTTCAACTTCTGAAATAAGTTCAAACAACATATTTTGAGACGGTTTATTCATTATTTATTCAATTATTACAGTCAAAAATATCAAAAATCACCAAATCATCAAATTCTCACTTTATGAGCAAATAGTTAACAAAAATACAAAATCTTTAATTTCAACGTTTAAACAATGAGTATTTCTTGCAATACATGTGTATAACTAACAAGATCAATTTCATTTAAAATAGGGACCCATGCATAATAAATAATAAATAGAAATTCAAACCAATGGTTTCATACTTTGAGATACATGTTCAAAAATAGTATTAAATGTTGGACAAATATTAAAAGTTCACCCTAATACAAAATATACAAAACAATGCTTCATACTTTGAAACAATGCATATGGTTAAAAACGAGTAGAGATTTTTTGGATTAGCATTACTATTTCCCTCCATTTCAAAATAAACATGATATTTCATCGAAAGCATCGAAACGAATTGGAGAGAAGGGATATCACAGATATACAAACAACAAAGGGCCTGTGAGCATTTGACTTCAAGTGCAGACATTGGTTTTCGTGTGGTAGACAGCAATATACGCACAAAATTCAAAATAAGAGAAGGGAACACATTGCGTGGATTTTCCATTTCATTGCGATAAATCTTTTCAAATATTCACAAAATCTGACACAAGGAACTTTTCTCTTCTCCTAGAAATCCTTTGCCATTTCCTCTAAACCCGTGATTATTCTCCGTTGTAAATTTAACCTTTGTGGTTTCACCGTTATGGGTGTCAGGTGAAGTTTTCCTGAAATTAAATTGTTTGCCTATCTGCGGTGAATAACTTCCGTGCTTCTCTACTCCTCGTAAAGGAGAAGACACCATATCCAGAGAACCATTTCTTTTACTGTGGGACGATAGTTCCAGTGAGTTGTTTCGTTCGTTTTGTTTAATGATATCTAAAGAGGCATCCATGGATCGTTTTCTTGGAATATCGTCAAAGGAAATAGGAGAATAAAGACTTCTATTGTCCAGTGAAGGAGTATTTTTCAGTTCTTTTTTCGGGGTGTTTGTGACAGACTTTGGTAAAGTGTCGTCGTTGGCATCCAAATAAAGTAACCAGTAGGATTTCATACTGCCTTTACCCTAAAAATACAGAAAATTTTTTAGTACCAACACAATAAACAGAACATGCATGAGTAGTCATAAATCTTTTACCTTAATAGGGATGGATCCACGTTCTTCAACTTTATATGGATGGTCTTTAATGTGATCCCAGGTGGTTTGACTGATATGAATCTTCATAGCCTTAAATAGAAACGTTGATCATCCATTTCATACATGTTTATAATATACAATGGAAAAGGCCATATTTGTTCATTTACAGCATATATGGTTATCTTTGAACTGATTACCTCTCCATTAGTCTCCATCCTGGATGCTGTATTCACGGTGTCTCCAAACAAACAGTACCGAGGCATCTTTATCCCCACGACCCCCGCTACCGTCGTCCCACTGTGTATTCCTGGCAAAATATGGGTGAACAATTAAGTTGGAAATCAGTTTCTAATATCAAGAAAAAGGAGACGCAAAAACAGAACTGATGATGCAGTTTGTTTTTAAAGATAATTCAATTTTGAGAACATTTTGTTTTGTTCTTTGTTCGTTTTGTTATTTTCTGACAAGTGCGTGTTATAATTATCCTTCTTGTTCCAAGAAACAAAAATTTTCCTAACTCGTTAAATTCGTGCAAATCAAATACGTTTCGGATTCAGAATAACATCCCTTACCGACACGAATTCTCATGTGTCCCCCAGTGGAGGGATCAGACAATTCCACCATTGAGGAGATCATGTCCAGTGCCATGTTACAGATATTAAGGGCGTGGTATGGTGTTATCTCCGGTGCACCGGACACAACCATGTAGGCGTCACCGATTGTCTCTACCTAGTGTAAATACAAATTTTCAAACGCTTGCTTAAAATTGATAGTACTCGCTTACCAGTTTTGAAAACTTTGGGAAAATACTTCAGATCATTCGCAGGAGATAAATCTGACAATGTCTGTGAAAAAGGCTTACTGCTAAGCTCACCTTATAGACCCCGTGACGCTCGCTGAGTTGGTCGAACTTTGTGTACATAGCATTCAGCATGCATACAACCTCCATTGGTGAAATTTGACTGCAAATGGACGTGAAGCCGACTACGTCACTGAACAAAATCGTTACATTGTCGAAAACCTGAAAAAAATGTTATTTTCTGACAAAAGACAAATATGGATGTTTATTTCTTTACACCACTATACCTATGATTCAAAATTCGTTCTAATCACCTCATTTTGAGTAGTCGGGTTGGCATGATCATGTAAACCAAGATGGTTTCGAGAAAAGTGGAGAGAGCATTCTCTAACTTGAATTTGATATGCTCATCATATCTTCAAATCTTTGTTTTTCTTATAATACTCTTGCACATAGAAATAAAGATGCATAATATTTTTGCTTTTAGTTTTATTTAAACCATTTTCACTCTGTATATGATATTAGGAAAAACAAACAAGTTAATATGATACAGGGATATTTTCTGTTTGGAAATTTCTGATTTTTTGCAATATGTTCATTAGCCATTATGCCATTTACATGTTGGCATCTTCTGTAACTCGCAGTTTTCATAAAACCAATCTCTTAAATTATAAGAAGACTTCTTATCAATATTTTAAAAAATGGCCTTGGATAAAAGGATAAAAGGATAACACCATAAAATATGTTTCTTGACATGTCCTAAATATTTTTTTGGAGGACGCTAAATCTAAATTACGTTCCAATCTATTTTCCAATCGGAATAAGATTTTCATCAAAGCAACTAATCAAAACTATCCATGTTTCCGAAACCTTTACCTCCTTTATTTTTTTTTTATTTCTGTTTAAACGATTGAAGTAGACAACACGTGATATTAGATTATTCTAGTTAAAGATTACACAAGATTCCTTCATGTCCGTTTTGTTGCCTTACATAACATATACATTGTAATAGTTAAGGAGGGAAAAACAAGAGGCCCATGGGCCACAACGCTCACCTGAGTAACTTTGGCCATGCTGTTCTTTACCAGATTCCCCCCCCCCCTGTAATACCTATTGTGGCCCCACCCTACCCCGGGGGGTCCTGTTTGAACAATTTAGAATCTACACTACCCAAGGATGCTTCCACATAAGTTTCAGCTTTTCTGGCCCAGTGGTTCTTGAGAAGAAGATTTTTAAAGATTTTTCCTATATATTTCAATGTAAAATTTGGATTCCCTATTGTGGCCCCGCCCTACCCCCGGGGGTCATGATTTGAACAAATTAGAATCTACTCTACCCAAGGATGCTTCCACATAAGTTTCAGCTTTTCTGGCCTAGTGGTTCTTGAGAAGAAGATTTTTAAAGATTTTTCCTATATATTTCAATGTAAAACTTGGATTCCCTATTGTGGCCCCGCCCTACCCCCGGGGGTCATGATTTTAACAATTTAGAATCTACACTACCCAAGGATGCTTCCATATAAGTTTCAGCTTTTCTGGCCCAGTGGTTCTTGAGAAGAAGATTTTTTTAATGACCCCACCCTATTTTTGTCTTTTCTTGATTATCTCCCCTTGTAAGGGGACTTGGCCCTTTATTTTAACAATTAAAACTCCCCTTCACCCAGGGATACTTTGTACCAAGTTTGGTTAAAATTGGCCCAGTAGTTCTTGAGAAGAAGTTGAAAATGTGAAAAGTTTACAGACGGACGGACGGACAGACGGACGGACATACATTAGGTTATATATTGGGTACGTCAAGTCCAAGTCTTCTTGGATATTGCTTATTGGATATAAAAAAAGTGTACATACGAGAGAGCATTCTTTGGGTAGTAACTGTTTAAATTTTATTGGGTATAAATGCTTATGTCCAAAACTTTATTGAGATTTTTCTTATAATTCTTGATTCATACCAAATTTGTGGCTGTTTAATTGTTTGCAGGTAAATTTAGACAAGACTGTAAACCTTTGATTTTGAACACACTTTTTTCATACTTTCTGTAATATAGCTTTTTTGAGAAGTAAATATTGTTATCATCCACATTATTCCTGGCAAATTAGGATATATATTTAAAAATACCTCTTACTGGAATGTGTTTACCTAAATGCAATACACATACGAAGACAACCCAACACATCTCAGACACCTGTTTAACCCTTCTTGGATACTTAAAACAAGCATTTGATGAGAAACCCAACAAGTCTTTTGAATCATGTCCAATTCCTATTGGATACATATAAACTTGTATTAGAGTACAAGCCAACAGGTATTGGACACCTGTCCAACTCCTCTTGGATACCTACATTCCTTAAAACATATACAACCCTACAGGTATGGATCTGTCCAATTCCTCTTGGATATCTACATCACTTCATCTGAATACAAGCCAACAGGTATTGGACACCTGTCCAACTCCTCTTGGATACCTGCATCCCTTCATCAGAATACAACCCAACAGGTAATGGACACCTGTCCATCTCTTGGATACCTACATTCTACCCAACAAGTATTGGACACTTGTCCAATTCTTATTGGGTTAATTAAATTCCCTCATCAGAATACAACCCAACAGGTATTGGACACCTGTCCATCTCCTCTTGGATATCTACATTCCACTCAACAGGTAATGGACACTTGTCCAATTCTTCTTGGGTTTCTTGAATCCCTTCATCAGAATACAACCCAACAGGTGTTGGACACCTGTCCAACACCTCTTGGATACCTACATTCAACCCTACAGGTAAAGTACACTTGTCCAATTCTTCTTGGGTTAATGAAATCCTTTCATCACAATACAACCCAACAGGTATTGGACACCTGTCAAACTCCTCTTGGATACCTACATTCCACCCAACAGGTATTAGACACTTGTCCAACTCCTCTTGGTTATCTGTATCCCTTCTCTTAGAATACAACCAAACAGGTAATGGACACTTGTCTAATTATTCTTGGGTTACTTGAATCCCTTCTTCAGAATATAACCCAACAGGTATTGGACACCTGTCCAACTCCTCTTGGATACCTACATTCCATCCAACAAGGAAATGATACTTGTCCAATTTTTCTTGGGTTACTTGAATCCCTTCATCAGAATAAAACCCAACAGGCATTTGACACCTGTCTACCTCCTCTCGGATACCTACATTCCATCCAACAGGTATTGGACACTTGTCCAGTTCTTCTTGGGTTAATGAAATCCTTTCATCACAATACAAACCAACAGGTATTGGACACCTGTCCAACTCCTCTTGGATACCTATATTCCATCCAACAGGTATTGGACACTTGTCCAATTCTTCTTGGGTTAATGAAATCCTTTCATCACAATACAACCCAACAGGTATTGGACACCTGTCAAACTCCTCTTGGATACCTACATTCCACCCAACAGGTATTGAAACTTGTCCAACTCCTCTTGGTTATCTGCATCATTTCTCTTAGAATACAACCAAACAGGTAATGGACACTTGTCTAATTATTCTTGGGTTACTTGAACCCCTTCTTCAGAATACAACCCAACAGGTATTGGACACCTGTCCAACTCCTCTTGGATACCTACATTCCATCCAACAAGGAAATGATACTTGTCCAATTTTTCTTGGGTTACTTGAATCCCTTCATCAGAATGCAACCCAACAGGTGTTGGACAACTGTCCAACTTCTCTTGGATACCTACATTCCACCCAACAGGTATTGGACACTTGTCCAATTCTTCTTGGGTTAATTAAATCCTTTCATCACAATACAACCCAACAGGTATTGGACACCTGTCAAACTCCTCTTGGATACCTTCATTCCACCCAACATGTATTGGACACTTGTCCAACTCCTCTTGGTTACCTGCATCCCTTCCTTAGAATACAACCCAACAGGTAATAGACACTTGTCCAATTCTTCTTGGGTTAATTAAATCCTTTCATCACAGTATAACCCAACAGGTATTGGACACCTGTCCAACTCCTCTTGGATACCTACTTTCCACCCAACAGGGTAATGGACACTTGTCCAATTCTTCTTGGGTTACTTGAATCCTTTCATCACAATATAACCCAACAGGTATTGGACACCTGTCCAACTCCTCTTGGATACCTACTTTCCACCCAACAGGGTAATGGACACTTGTCCAATTCTTCTTGGGTTACTTGAATCCTTTCATCACAATATAACCCAACAGGTATTGGACACCTGTCCAACTCCTCTTGGATACCTACTTTCCACCCAACAGGGTAATAGACACTTGTCCAATTCTTCTTGGATTACTTGAATCCCTTCATAAGAATATAACCCAACAGGTATTGGACAATTGTCCAACTCCTCTTGGTTATCTGCATCCCTTCTCTTAGAATACAACCCAACAGGTAATGGACACTTGTCCAATTCTTCTTAGGTTACTTGAATCCCTTCATCAGAATACAACCAACAGTTCATATTGCAGTTTTGTTTCTTATTTTAAATTTCTGATTTAATTTTAAAAAAAATCAGTTTAATGGTTTGAACTTGCAGGAATTCTTAAAATTCAGCGACAACAATATTCTTCATAACATTACATCAAACACCTGCATTTGTAAACATGGCACAAGGTCTGTTATTGTTTTTGTTTACTTTTTACTGGACTTGTTAGATTTGCAAACTTTGCACACATCACTGCACACTTACCGACAACACTGGTGAATCCGTTTTTGCTTTCTACATTTTTATTATCACTTTTCTTGATTACAGTTTTAATATGTTCTATTGATATGCCACAGAATTTCCACTTTTTTTTAAATACTAAGGATGAATTTCAGTTTGAGAAAATGCAAGAATGTACAGCAATCATACACACCCAAAATTCATTCTTTTATAATTTTATGATAAATGAAGTTTCATAACATGCTTTAACAATGTCAGTCTGAAATGCTATTAAAGTTATGATATTATACTGACAATTTTGGAAAAATATTAGCTTCAAATCTGTGCCAATGCCTCTTTAATGACAAAAGGCCCAAGTAGCCCTAAATAAATCAGATCCCTTAATTGTAAATATTTGCTATCAGTCGCTATGATTAAACGAATTCTCATCAACAGAAGAAAATCCATGAAATTGCTATATATTCTCTAGTGCCACATTGCTAAATAGATTGCACCCTTGAGTGCATATTTTCTATCAGTTGCTCTAATAAAACAAAAAAATTCTCATCAAATGT